CTCTCCCTCTTTTTTTTTTTTTTTTTTTTCAGTACTATTGTGCTGCTTCCCTCCCTTCAATTGCTACGCATTGCAAATGAGCCCTCCTTTGTTGTTGCTACTGTTTTTACGCTTGAAGTTCACTTTGGTTGTGGAAATATCTTCCCCCCCACCAAGTTGTTATTTAACCCGAAATATTGCATCACTCAACTAAAAAGCTTTTCTTCTTTAGCACTTCCTTTGGATTAATAGCCTCACGCTTGCATTCTTTTGGGAGTCTTCATGGCTTTTGTAACTAGCAGAAGTTGCGTTTGCAGCAGCTCCTGATATACTCCTGCTCCAAGAGCGCTGAAGTCAATGAAACGGCTCCTGGGGGCTTCTCTGCAAACTAGCTGCGTTCCCAGGACCAAGTAGCTTTGAGAAGAGAGTGCATGAAGGGGACTTTTAATATTGCAGAATATATGAGAATTTAAAGTAGAAATATGTCAAGACAGGAAGGCTCAGTTTTTAAGAAGGTTACACCTTTAAAGCAGCATTAATCTTTTAAATAAAGAAATTGCAAAGCACAGAATACTAGAGCAGGGATAAACTGTAATCAATCAGCAAGAGTACATCAGAATTAGAAAATGATTCTTCCTTGACTACTGCAGGGCAGGTTTTTGCCTACATCACATGGATGTGACTTTGGCACCCTGCGGATGGGCGCATCTCGGCTGCACGTCCAGTTAGCTGCTCCTTCCCAAATTCTGTGGGACTGAAAGACACTTTCCCTTGGCAATTTAAGGAGTTGCCTGAAACTTTCCCTCCCTGAGTGAGGGCTCCCTGCAGGCTTCAGCAGGCATTGGAGCAGACATCGAGCTGGGACTTTCCTACCCTTGGGCTGCGCTATCCACACACTTGTGTTGGAACAGGGTACGGAAGGATAGGACAGCATTCTTAATGCTGTGTCCTCTGAATATTAGGAATATTGGTGTGACTTTGCAGATAAGATGTGGGGGCAGCATTTGGTTTAACAGTGCTGTGCGGGTTTGGAAGGGAGGTCTTAAAAGTTCTCCACAACACACACAGATACACTTAGATATATATATGTATATGAAAGTGGGAAGGGATATCCTTTTTTCCTTTACGACATTAGAAAGTAAATACTATCCACTGGAAAGGCTGTAATGGTAGTTTTATGGCCCTATTACTCTTTCAAGTAAATACAGCGGTGTGTTTGGGCTCCCTTGCCGTACAGAGCTGTTTGCTTCATTACGTCTATATTTCAGAGGTATCGTAGCCACTTGGGCTACAGACACTATCTCATTGCTCGACCCTGGTGCAACAGCTCTTTCCTAAATGACTAGCTGGTCGGAAGGTCTGTATTTTGAGCTGACTTCTGCTTTTTGAAATGGTGTAGTATTTATCCAGCAGAGTATAGCCTAGTGGCACTCACTGTACAAATCTCAAGGCAAGATATGGAAACTTCTTCCATAAGCAAATGTTTGTTCACCACAGTCTTCCACAGGCATATGATCATCTTTTACGCCCCTTTTTGCACATTTGCCTCCTTTTTATGTCCTGCTCAGCAGAATCCTTGGCCTGTCAGTCATGCTGCTTGATATTAAAATAGTAATGATTTGCTTAAACTTAGTTTTATGGTAAAATCAGAGCCTTAAACAAAGGGAATGTCTCAGCTGAGAAAGGAAACAGCCTTTTGCCTGATTTTTTGCTTAAAGAAATAAGGGAACAATGTGCAATCGCCTGTTTCCAAACCGTAACATGCCAATTGTTCTTAGTTTTGTTTTTCCTTTTTTTTTTTTTCCTATAATATAGCCACTAGTTGGATTTTGTTTTGTCCTCACAGTTTGTAAGCCACAGAATGTACCAGATAAGTGCAAATACTGCTGACCCAGCACCCCGTGGCGCTGGCTTCAGCGGCGCCGGCCTCACGGCTCTGGTGCCCTCTCGCCCTGCAGGCGTGCGACAGAGACCAGCAGTGCGGAGCGAGGATGTGCTGCGCCGTCAGCCTGTGGATCCGCAGCCTGCGGATGTGCACGCCCATGGGGAGCGCGGGAGAGGAGTGCCACCCCCTGAGCCACCGCGTGAGTACGGCTGGACGGGACGGACATCGTCCCGGAGAAAAACCGAGGGCGAAGGAGCCCCACGCACAGTTCAATCTCTTTACCTACCAGTTTTGCATTGCTGTTGCTGTTTTCCTTCGTTAACCCACCCGAAACAGCCTGTAGCAGCCTCAGAGTCCTGGGTTTTCCAAATCTTCCCTGGGAAGAGCCACATGGGAGGGACAGAGCAGCGAGGGAGCCACTTCCCACGCATGCAGTTAGTTGGCTCTCACTGTTGTGTTTGATGCCTGGCATCTCAGCTCTGTATCTATAGGCTATTTGCTCAGCTTTAGGAAGAGTAAGGAAGAAGTGAGGCTCTGTCCTCTTAGCATCAAATTGTTAAATCTTCCCGTATGATACTGAGGACCAGATTCTCATTTTTACTATGCATTGCAATAAGTTTCTCTTGCAAGGGGTCTTCATATTTGCAGGATCCTTGGGATCCTCCTGGCTTCCAGTTTTCTTTGAGTTTATTGCCATTGCGCAATAATTTACACTGATGCATTTGAAACTAATTGTGCACATAATTGCAATCAGTAAGGATGCCTGTCCGCTCCGGAGTTACGGCCACAGTCTCTGATGTTTATAAGCTTTATGAGGTTAATTTTAGACTTTGCTTCCTCACCCTGCTGCTCTTCATGACAACCAGGGAGCAAATCGATCTACTGCAGCACACGAACTGAAGTGTTTTCAAAGGTGGTGAGCTTGCTCAACAGCTTCCCTCCTAAACGTGTGGGCGGGAAGGCGGCTGGGAGACCTATTGCTCTGGATATCAAACCTGCCATTTGCCTTTAGGGTAGGAGAGAGCAGGTGGCTGTTCAGATCTTCAGGCCATTGAATTTCATCTTTGCTTGCAAAGGCTTCATAAGGGCAGAGGCAATGAGCACCCACTGCACGCTTGGGGATCGCGCCCTCCATCTGTGCAGACATCCACAGCAAAACCACTGCGGCCTTTGGGGATGCACAAGGAAGAGGGTCTGGCTTTGCAAGACTTATTTCTACCTGTGATGTCCCTTGCTGGAGGTGGCAGCAAGGGACCTACCTGGAGTGGCCATCAGGAGCCCAGCAGTGACCGTCCTGGTGGAAAGGGTGGGAAAACTGGTGGGCACCTTGTACTGAATCCTGCTCTGTCTCCTTGCAGGTGCCCTTCTCCGGGCGCAGGATGCACCACACGTGCCCGTGCCGGCCCGGCCTGGCCTGCACACGGATCTCGCAGAGCAAATTCAAGTGTTTACCCAACTTCAGGAAAGAAGATATCTTTTTTTAGCGGGTCCACACGGCGAGTTCTTTTTCTTGCTATGGTGATGGAAAAAGCCACTCACCGGGCGCAAGGCTGTAGTGTAGTTTCCTGCCTGGCCAACATTACAACCCAAGACCCTGCGCTGCGACAGGCAGGGCTTTCAGGAGCAGTTGGTGATGATGACGACGGATGCTTTCATTTTGGGGTGACAGAGGAGGTTTGCTGGAGCAGTGTCACTTGCAGAGGGCAGGACCTGAACAATTCCTACTGGGTCCCATCCTCCTCACGGGTCCAGCTTCACCCAGCATGAAAACATCCAAGATTGTTGTCAATTTCAGAAAATCGTGGCCATGTTTTTCCACTTTGGAATGCCTAAGCCAAACTGAGATTTGCATAATTACATAATGCAAAGCATAAGATGATTGCCAAAAAAAAACCACCGTGTATTTACATTGCAGCTCCAATCTTTATTAATATAACTGTATTTGTACATTAGACATATCTCTACTGTAAACGTTTAACCAATAGATGTAGTTTTTGCACTTTTTAAAAGTGACAGATGGAACCAAAGCATTTCAATATTCAAAACATTAAAAGATGCTCTTATTTTAGTATTCTATGAGAAAGAAAAAGTTGTTGTTACTTGATTTGGTGTAAAACTAGCTGATATCTCAGACTATGTATTAAAATGTAGTTTATATTTCAAAAAAGGACCTCTGAAGTTTATTGTAATGGACTGCTCAACTTCTTGTACATGTATCAAATTTACTGTTTAAGAATTCTGTATCAGAATGATAGCAGTATATGATTTGATTTAATTTAATATTATAACATTATTTTGTCATTGTGGTTTTAAGATTTTATTTGATGTAATCTGTTATCATGCATTTCATTCAAGTAAACTAGCAGAGCTCCTTGCAAATAGTTTTTTAAAATATTATATGCCTCTGTCTGATTTTAGGGAAACTCAGCAGTTTACAAGTTGGAAACCCCCAGGTAAAAGTTGGACTTAGATGATGCGGAATTTTTAGTGTCATTAACGTGAGAGTTCTTCCTTGGCACGTACCTCAAAGGAACACCTTTAGCATGTCAAACGTGCAGCTTGTGGGGGTTTTATGAAATACTGTGCAACTTCGCGTTTGCTTGTCAGTCCCTATAGCTGGAATTCCAATGGTTTGTGTGAGTTTCACACGTTTTTGGCTCTCAGACATGCAAACACATGCCGAAACGGCAGAAGTGAAGCTCTCAGCAGTCACTGCTGCTGGGGCTGGGGTGAGAGGAGAGAGCAGGGCTGTACAAAGGCGAACACCCGCTGAGAGACGCTGCATGTTTGCTGGGTGCCTTGCACTGCGCTCCCTGCACGGCTGGGGAGCAGCTGCCTCTTTTGCTGCATCCTTGTGGCTCTTGCATGCAGTTTTGCATTGGGTATAATAGCCTGTGGTTTTGCATTTATGTCAGTGGGTACAAAGTGCCTGCACCAGGGGTTTTGAATTTGGTGGGGCTCCATTCATTCCCTTCCCACTCAGGTGAAAGGAGTTGTGAGGAGTTTCCTTATGGGCTGGCTGGGGAAAGCCTGGGTGACCTGAGCTTGTAGTTTTAAACTGCAAGCAGTTTGTACCCAGTGCTATTAAAGCAAAACAGTTTTGTACCGTGGGCTTCAAAACACACTTAGCAGGAAAACTCAAGACGGCAACAGAGGCAGTGCCAAGGTGTGTGTTTGGGCTGTCTCTTGCTACAAACTCAAGACGGCAACAGAGGCAGTGCTAAGGTGTGTGTTTTTACCAACACATATTGTCAGGGTCTTCAAAAAGAAAACAGGAGACAGAGCAAGAAACACCAGCCCTGCTTCTCATTTCATGGCAGTATAAATCACCAGGAGCTCCATGGAAGGCAATAATTCTGCTTTATATCACGGTAAGTGGGAGAACAATTATATCTGATGAGCCTCAGATCTGCCAAACCCAGCTCCTCAGAGAGTTTGCTATACAGGAGCAGAGCAACTTTGTAGTCATAATTTGTGCCAATTAACTTGTGGGATTAGGCATTCATCTGGGTAATGAGAACAGCTCCAGTTACAACAGAGCAAAGTCTGCAAAACGTGTAGGAGACCCAAATGCCCGTGTCTCTGAGTTGGTCACTGCTGAGGACAAGGTGGAGGGGTTTTTGAGGGAGATACTGTCATGTTGCCATCTACAACCTCTTCCCTAATCAATTATCATTTGCTCCCATCCTGGAGAAGACTTCCTAACCTATCTACACCTGCAAGATGCCTTTAATTTACTTCTTTATTTTAATTTACTTGTGGTGGTGAGTGTTGTCAGACTGAAAAAGGATGTTGCAGTCCTAAAAACAGCTTCCCAAAACAGCTAGATCCCGTTCTCCAGACTGCCTGGTTTTCGAAGTGTTGGGAAAAGGCTGACTTTACTGCTTTCCTTTATTCACTCTGCTTAGGATATCTGGGCCACTGTTCAGTTTAATTTTATTAATATTGTATTAATATTATTAATTATTAATAGAAATGTATGCATTAATTTTTGATATTATATTAATATTGATATTACAGATATGCTATAGAATAATGATAATTTCACACCAAACTAAGATTTGCCATGATTAGTACCAGGCGGGGGTTTTGTGGAGAGTGATTTCAGGAAAGGACTCTACCATATTTGGTGGGTTTTTGGATCAATTTGATTAGATGTTTATTGCGAGTGGTAAAGAAGTCAGGTATTTGAGTTTGATGGTGCATATCTGGGAAAGCAGGAGGTTAGGGCATGCATATAGGGCACCATGTGGCTGGCCAGGTGCTAAGGTTAGGTAAGGTGGTGGGACTGTGCCTCAGGTTGGGGACTCGTTGAAGGTTGTACTCAGTTGTATCAGCACACAATGAGTTTGTTAGTACTCAGACACTGATGAGATGGGCTTGTGTAGAGTTCTGGTGGTGGTGTCCTTTGCTGGATGAGCTAGCAGTGGTGTTCTGAGGACTACAGTCATCCCAAAGCCTGTCACAGCTGCTACCTGCAGTCATTGCCCAACCACTGTGTGTGGACTCAGGACTTGCCGTGCTCTCCAGTACGCGTGGCCAGGCTGCCTGGAAACACAGGGCTCTGCCTGGCAGGTGATTCTCCAGCATGTCTCATCTCAGCATTTCTCATTATGTACCTCACAAAGGTCTTTGCTGGTCTCCCTGGTCAGCATAAGGAATCACAAGGATATTCAGTACCAGCCAGGGCAACAGGGATCCTTCTGATGGCCCGCATTGCTCTCCAGCTTATTGCTGCACAGGTGGATGCTTAAAAGAAAGAGAGCTGCAAAGATTCCCTTGATTTAAGTAAGATGTCTCAGGAATTTGATCTTGACAGTGTATAGCATGTTTTCCAGAAGGAATTAGAAAATTGCAGGAAGAGAAGAACTGTGCAAATACAGGAGGATTTTGATAACGGCAAAATGTATGTGCTTTTCTTTATCAGCTGGAATAGCAAGCCAAACCAGCAGGGGCACAGCAAAAGGAGTAATCGATAACTCTGAGCGCAGGAGTGGAGGCGACTTTAATACGCATCCAGCATGCAGCAAATCATCTCCCGTTCATCAAGGGAGTCCTGAATGTGTGCAGGATGGGGCTAAGGAGACAGGACACATGGTAAAAATGTGTAGGGGCCCATTTCCTTATGTGTCCCATTTTGAAAGGCAAGTAAAGGCTTGAGGATTGGCAAGTCTGGCCTGCTGCAAGAAGAGCAGTTGGAGAGTGAAGCATGAGGAAAAGGAGGAATTACTACTGAAATATTGCAGTATGCTTGGGTATGCAGCCATGGCAGGGTTTTCCCCGAGGGCTGAATGCGAGGTGGCATAGCACAGACCAGGAGCATCCCATATTGATGCTCCCTTGCACCGGGGCAGGAGCGAGGACAGGAGTCATGGTCCTCTCCCTCCGTCTGGGACCATGGAGGCCCTGCGAGTGGCTCGAACCGTGTGTCTGCCGCATTAACACCACAAAGCAGCAACACGTGGAAGGAATTAAACCTTGTTTTGAATGTCTGAAAACATGGCCTCACTCCAACTCTGCAAACAGGACGGAGCCTTCTTCATTTACTTTTATGTCAGTACCCGCGAGTGCATCACGGTGCTGTTCCGCACCAGCTTCCACAGACTCTTTTTCAGGACAAACAGGCAGAGGTGACGCTCACTGACAAACCAGCAAAGCTGCTATTCATTTTGATGGGTGCAAAGTTGGGACTTTTTTTTTTCTGCATGAGAATATAGCAGAGCACAGAAGACAGAGCATGTCTGAGTGTCTCGTTATCAGAGAGGCCAGCGCAGGCAGAGCAAGGAGAAGCAGCTGCAGGTGTGCTCTTTCCAAAGTCTTTCCAAGATATGTTAGGGATAAAAACAGGAGGTGTCAAGCAGCAAAAGGAAGAAGCGATTCAGTGTGGGATACGAAAGGTCTGTGCATGGCTTGAAGACCACTGCCCCTTGCTGCCTCCTGCCTTTTCCCCTGGGATGCTGGTGCTGGGATGCAGGCGCCGTGCGGCCGGCGCAGGACCCTGCCTCGAGCAGGCGCGCCGCAGGCAGCGTGCCGGCCTGCTCGGTACATGTCACACATGGAGCATCCATTTTTTCCCCTGGATGATTTGTTGTAATGGTTAATCATCCTCACACAAACACGATTTTATTTTTATTTTTTTAAATAACGGCACGGCAGTAAATAACGTTCAGGACCTCTAGGAATGGCGGTGTCTCTTCAGAGGGCCAGCTCTTGATTTCTGCCTCCTCTGTTAGTGCTGTGATGAGTGCCTAAAATTAGCAGTTTCCCTGCACCCTCGCCAGACTAGCTTTGAACTCAAAAGCCTCCTACACAGAGCACTCCCTGACAGCAACCTGGTCACAGGCCAGCGGGGACACATGGCCCTGAAGACGGTGACTTTCTGATAATGCTTCTGCAGCAAAGCCACGTGTGACTCACGGGCTCACAGGCACTGTGCAAGTACCGGGGTCATTAAACGTGAATGGAAATACAGGGATGCAACAGC